CATAAAAGGATAGAGAGGAAAATAAAAGTCCAATTTATTAACTTAATATAATTATTTTCGCAAAAAAAGCCAGATACACACACACGCACACACACACACAAATATAATTCAATGTTTTTTTTTTTCACTGACTAAAACTGACACAGGACAAAGTTTATTTGCACGATTCGCATTAATTTTTTTTGTTATTTTGTTTTTTTGTCGTCGCCTCCTCTTGCCACCTCGACAGATATTTGAGAGTTGTCGAGTATTTGTGTACCTGTGCCAGGGATCAGGTAATTGTGGGGAATTATCAGTTTGAATGTTATGGTGAAGACAATGTTTTGTTTTGGCAGGTTCTGGTGGTGTAAGTTTTTATTACAGGAGAAAATGCCCGAGTTCAGGGTAATAGAGGGAGGGAGGATGGCGTTCTCTAGTGGTGGTGAGTAACGAGAGAGAGAGAGAGAGAGAGAGAGAGAGAGAGAGGGAGGGAGAGAGAGAAGAAAGGAGGTGGGTCTCGTGAAAGTAAAGAAAAATACAGTAAAATATGGGTGGCAAGTACACAAGATATTATATATTAACACAATGACAAACTGGAATATATTCAAGATATACCCACACACACAGAAACATTATACATAAAAGAGGCAGTTCAGTGCCAAACAACAATGTATAACTTAACATTAAAAACAGTACATTGATCAAAGGAACATATTAATGCAAGTATAAAAACGAGATCAAAACTTGTGAATAAGATTGTAATAATAATGCCAAAATATATACGTATCTATGTTAAATTAAGTCGCTAGGACACCCTTCATTGTTGACCTGCTGGGAGTAATGACGGCATGCCAGCAGAGGATACGCGTGTGACACTTGATAAAGGTGAGAACTTTTGGTGTCAGGATTTTTAGGTTTAAAGAATGATTAAGTGAGTTCTACGGTGACTTACCAATTGATCATGATTCATATACACACACATTAAATATATATATATGGGCGTCAATGCAGGCAAAGAAACTAAAACACGTATATAAAATCATATAAATTGAAAATATATACATATCCACATACATGTTTACATATTACATACATCAACACCCACACATACACACTCATACGCGTACACCGTGCTGCGCCTTCACACAACTGAATACACAACAAGTATTGTAGTAAACTCCTCCATGGAAATCGACTTAGACGTCATTATCAGTAAAAGCAACTCACTTGTACGTAATAAATATGATTTCAGTTTGTTTATAATTACTGTACGGCACCAAGTTCCCCTTACCAGCATGTTGTCATCACTAATGATAATGATAAACACAAAACCGATTCGGCATTGTGGTTGATGACTGCATGACTTCCTCGGTCAATTACATATCAGGATATGACATCACAGTCTTAATTCATCTACATCTAACTAATCACAAATAAGGCCGTGACGTCACTATCTTAAAAGTACCTCCACTAACCAATAACAAAGTAGAATGTCATGAGATTTTCTTCATTATAATATCAAAGTCTACAAATATCAAGAACACACAGATAATTTGGTGAGATTTATCATTTGTTTTTGTATAAAATTTAATACCTCAAACTATGTTAAAGTCTAAAAAATAAATACAAATAATTCTCTAATAAATACATTCTTTTCCGTTCTCACTTAACATGAGCAGCAGAGAATGATAGACACAAACAGAGAGCATAAACCAATGATCTTGTACGTATTTCTTCTATATAAATCTTAATCATAAAGGTAAGAAATATAACAGGAATGTAGATAGAATAAATTCATAATAACATACAATTAAAGAAAAGTACTAATTTCTATACACATGAATCTCAAGTATTATAGGACGTTTGAAGTTAATTTATACGAACAAATTAACCCATGTCAATATCTCAGGGTCTTGTACTGTACTAATGAGATAAATAAAGAACTCATGATTGAAAAAGATGCAACATATTAACCTATCCTCGATAACCACTGGGTAGTGACCTTTGAATGATACTAATTACACCCATAGTATAAGACATGTGTTGTGTATGGTTGACTGAGTGTAGAGTGTAATGTGGGCTATGGGGATTAAAATATCACTCGTTTATAAATGTTTCCAGCTATTACCTATTGTTATTTTGTTCTTCATAAATAGAGCATAAAGATCCGTTCCGGGACACACACACTACATGGTAACAAAACTTAAAAGATCCTTCAGTAGTTACAGTACATATACGAGTATAATTAAGTTTACTACACCTACATGAAATTCATCCACTTCACCGATACTTTAATTGGAGATAAATAATGTAAATATAATCCACATTTCAAGATATAACGAAGAGTTGTTTTTATCTCTGCCTGTAACAATGGGGACAATACAAATAAATTTTCTATAGGTATCAATAAGTTAGATGTTGATATACCTGTATCACTTTGACCACTGAATCTAAGGATGAGGTAATTTAGGTTAAGGATAGTATCATATTTAGTACACGCAGTTCTAGTTGCTCATCGCATTGTTACTGATGTTGTTAGTGTACAGAAACATTATCAACATACTGTATATTAATCAGCGTCAGTTTTAGATACAAATGTCTCTTGTAATGAATTTGGGGTCAGCATATTCACCCTATCATGCTGCGTACCTGGACGGGGTAAATAAACAAGCTTAAAGGGATATTTTCGTTGAATGGATAAATTTGGGGTTAAAACAGAAAATGCCTCACCCATCAGAACCTCAATTCGTATATTTCATTTGAATTCGTTATCGAGAAAATAGTTTCATGGGTTCAAGCAGGGTCAAGGGGTGGTTAAAGGGGGTGGTCCAGGGGTGATCAAGGGGTGGTTAAGGAAGTGGTCAGGGTGTGGTTTAGGGGATGGTCAGGGGGTGATCAAGGGGTGGGCAGAGGGATTGTCGGAGGATAATCAGGGGTTGGTCAGGAGAATTGTAAGGAGACTGTCAGGGGGGTGGTTAGGGTGATCGTCAGTGGTTTGGTCAGGGGATGGTCAAGGGATGGATCAGTTCGGAGCTGCTCGCAGACTTTACCTTACTGTAGGTAATCATAATTAAGCTCCTCCAGCAAGAGTCACCCGCCTGATACATGAGTCAGGTGGTGAGGCTCAGAGTGACATAATCGGCTGTAAACTGTAAGCCTTGTGTTGTGGATCCTATTATACTTACACTGAGTCTACCTTTTATAAGTGAACCTCATTGTGACGTAAAGTATCTCAGGCGAATTTTAAGTAGATATAAAATACTCTGCTGTGTTGTACAGATGTATGCGTGACTTATTTTGTTTCTGATTATATTGACTTCGACTTGACAGTTTCTTTCTTATTGGTGTATGTCTTTGAGTGAAAAATTACACCTCTTAATTAACAACTCGTATTAATTAACTCGCTGTTCCCGCCATGAAACCTCCCACTTTATATGGGAGCAAAATATAAAAATATATCATATGTTTCCTAAACACACACAAGCCCAGAATAACGTGAGTGAAATGCACAAATAAAACAGGAGAGCATCACACAACAGCTTCAGCTGTGTTTGTTGGGTCCTGCGGGCGACAGTGGTGGTGTTTGTGTAAATCATATGTTTGTTTAAGATGCATGAGTAGACCAAACGCAGCTGTCATCTTACACAGAGTCATGGCCTTGGGTCACGTAAGGCGAGATAAATTGTTGTTGTACCTTTATAATGGTCACTACCATACTAACACACCAACACGAGACACAGCCAGTGAGTGCTGCTCGCACGACCTATTGACCAACAGGCTGGTGAGGAGGAGTTCTCCTACAATAATGTTTTTTTTATTTACATAATGAAGTGCAGCGTCATGTTCACTTCAAAGTCATGGAGTACGTTATATATATATATATATATATATATATATATATATATATATATATATATATATATATATATATATATATATATATATATATATATATATTATACACTATTTGTGTGTGTGTGTGAGTGTGTGTGTGCTTATATGTGTATTCATGAGTGTGTGTACATGTTTTTGAGATGCATTTAGTACAGGAGAGAAGAAACCATAGTACATGTTTAATTTAGCAACACTTTTGTGCAGTCAAGCACCTCAATGACAATAATAGTTATGAGTAATTAATTTCAGTTAGAAGGTTCTTGTGAAAAATATTCCTATTTAGCAACAACAGTGTAACACACAATTTTTAACTGAATTTAATTTCTCTATAAAATATAATGCGCGTAAGAACATTGCAATCATTTCCTTTTCAATAGAAATTAATATTACGGCATTCGTGAATAAAATAATACCCTCGTATAGAAACAGTGCACATCTTGTTCAAATCAAGAGTCTGCTGAGAAAATCATGAAAAGTTATAATAATTATAACATACGTGGCGGCACACTATCACCCATATATCGTGGTTCACTAAAATATCGTGACGTAAGCTGTAATAATGATTCTTAGGCATCATTCCAGAGTTTCATATCAGGATATCTGCTGAATTAGAATTGAATCAAGTTTAAAATACTCTGGTGAGCACACACACAAAAAAAGAAAGTCATATATCTACAAGTACACTCTCTTATACTATATGTTATAGCTTCTTAGCAAAATAAAAATCGCTACACCAAATATTTTCTTCTATATCAGAATATTTAAATTAAACCAATAAACAGTCGGGGGTCTCACTAAGTGCATCAGTTAAGGCAAACACCACGCCTTGAGACAATACCACCGACCGATCATTCTTTTACAAGGATTTTTTCTAACACTAACGCAGCGCTTTACTGAGAATGTGCACTCTCTTCCCTGTTGACAAAATTAGACTTTGGTTGTAACAGTAAGATGGTTAGCTTATACATAAACAAATGTCCTTTAAGCTTGATGAACATTTGTTGTGAATACACCTGCAGGTAAAACTATCATCAGGCTTGAGTGTTCCTCCTCTCGTCCCGTGTACAGTCCTCGGCTGTCTGGGTGGAGGGTTGTGATTTCCTAATCCTCCTTCACTGTTTTATGTAGTTTTGCCTTTTTTTTTCGATGGTACTGGACGCCTGTTACTCTCTCCCCCACTTTTTTTATTTAACTTTCTTGACGTCAGTGTCCATTTGTGGGCATATAATTTGTGGCACTATGACCTCTCGTGACACTGCTCCTCTTCATCTTGCCTTCAGGTCACTGGGAATATGTCAGGTCATGTGTAGTCCGAGCGCCACCCATTCTGAAGGAGACATCAGAACAATGCATGTTATTAAAGCAAATTGTAATATCTTCTTAATCTGTGTTGTTGTGGTGGGAAACAGGTAAAGGCTTCTGGGTATATTCTCAATACCTTGAAGGGCACAGGGTACGTGACAACACAAAAGAGAAACAATGGTGATACCCTCCAAAAGGGTGGGAGGAAGGCAGGCATGTGGGGAAGTAAGTACCTGGGGTTATGAAAACACAGCAAGTGTGTGTGTGTGTGTGTGTGTGTGTGTGTGTGTGTGTGTGTGTGTGTGTGTGTGTGTCACGCTAAATTAGGAATAACTGCCGATTAAGCTTTAAAGTACAAATGACGTTTTTGTCATTAAAAAACAAAACAAGGACTTCATACACAGAGTAACAGGTCAAGATATTATAAAAGTTAATGATATCGTCGTCAAGGGTTAAGTCGTCATACTTAAAGGGTTAAAGACAAATATTTATTAGCACCGACCAGGAATATCTCTAGTGTATGTTGCAAACTTACCATAGGAGGCTGGAGGCTGAGACTGGAGGGGATCTGGATCTGTGAGGTGGAGGAGAGGCCGAGTCCTACGCCCGACATGGCCGACATGCCGTGCACGGGTGGGGCCGACATGAAGCCTCCTGCCATAGATGAGCCGTGCATCTGGCCGCCGTACATGTAGTGCGACATGGAGCCGAACCCAGAGCCTCCAGTCCCGAAGCCGCCGAAGCCGCTCTTGTCCAGAGGCTTCAACATGTCCGGGAAGCCCAGCATACCCTTCTTTTTCTTCGATTTCTGGCTCAGTTTGCGGTTGCGGGTCTGGATACCTTCCTTCTTCATGGTGAGTGGCCGGTTTACCTGAAGAGAGAGAGATAAAAATCGTTATTGCCAATACTTGAAGTCTAAAAGATACCCGAAAAAAGTAGTCTGTAAACAGAGAACGAGACTTGCTCGACTATGAAGCGTTAAATTTAAGCGAAAAATAAATAATAAATCCAAAGACTTTCTTGAAAAAAAAATACACCGACATTATACGTATCTATACACAACTTGTCCCGGAAAATTAAGATCGTCCCAGAGGCAGCGACCTCGGTTAGTAAACATTACATAATTTCAGAAGATAAATCATTTAAATACTGTCATAATGACAAGGAATTCCGTATAGTTACTCTTCAGAATTCCAGCGGAGGAGCTGGACATGAATCATCCAGGAACAAAACAACGAGTCACTTGTCAGGTTAATATCAATTCCCTGACAGAAAGAAAAGGATTTTCACCTTAAGAAAAAGCTTACTCCATGATATTTGTTTTTGTAAATTTGGTATTTATTTTGTATTCTCTTCAAAGTGTAAAGGGTTAACCTCAGTAATTTTGTATGAGGATCCCAACGTGCGCTCTCACTGTTTCCCACACACTTTCCTCTCTTGGACATAGTCTGGCAGAGGTGCGTAAACACAATCAAAGACGTATTTTTACAATTTTGTGTTTTGTGTTAGACAATATGACACAACGGAAGAAGGATTTTGTTAAACCTACCGAGCGAACAGGAATCGCAGTGTTGATTTTGAATTTCCTCGGACCCCCCCCATACTTTTTTGATCGTGTACACACAGTTCAGGTAGTATAAACACTGTACCATCATGGAAACACAGTAAACACAGGTGAACGTTCACAAAAAGGGTAGGAGCTCAAGACAGTTAACACAGTAACAATGATTGAGGTGTTACTTATTTTGTCTTATGATATCTGAGAGACTGATGCTATATTTAATCGTTCACAAATCTTCAACACATCTTATTCCGGCCTCACTGAGTCACAGTATTCTTACAGACAAATTATCTAACACTATCTGTGTCAAGAACGCATTTATTTACTTCCTTACTTCCCAAGACTGAGGGCTAAGATTCTGTGAGAGGACCTTGTATGTTGTAACCAATCATCTTTGGGGTTTGTTATGGTTTGACATTAGATGACAGTGTGGGAGTCCCTAGATAGTTTTTATGCTATAATTTAGCATGGTGACTGCAAACATGTTTTTAACTTTAACACAAGTTTTGAAGTAACCACAACAATGAGAAGCAATTTATATCCGTAACTGTAACTAACCAACTGACCAGTCACCCAGTCATCGGGGTAAATCTCCTGACAGTCGGACGAGCGAGGTGAATCCATGATAATCAGTCATCCTGACGTGACTTCTGATTAAGGATGACCAATTGCCAGTTTAATATTGTCCGTCAAGAATGCCCACATCACTAAGAATTCCAGCAACAGGATTGGCTAGGCGCTATGATTCAACTCCTGGGAATGGCTGAGCGCTCTTGCCGTTAACTCACTCAAGAGCAGTCTGAGAATACCAAGTGAAGTCCACAAATCTTGTAGTTTCTTATCACGACATTAAATATTTGCTGTCAAAATCAACTCCCAACTTCATACAAGGGAGCGTCCAGTAGGCCATTTAATGACACTATCACGTGAAAAATTAGACGGACTCTGACTCTGTTGTCATATTATTTTTCACGTCACTTAGTAAATGAACCTGGCGGCTGGTTATTTATGGAAGGCTTAGGGTAGGGCGGCTTCTCAGGCGGATAATTCACGGCCTCAGTTTTCTTTCTTTTACTCAATATAAAAACGTAAAATAGTTATATAATGATTTAAATGAAGCACTTCTCTGGGTACTGTAGGCCAGAGCCGAAAGCCACACAAGTTACGATAACATTAAGTTAAGGTAAAAACCAAGACCTGGCGACTCACACCTCCCGGCCAGCCATCATAACCACCTCCAGACCGCCCACTGCGATCCAGCCCCGACCTTTTCAGAATCTCACGTAGCCTTTTCTCCTCGCATCATCTCTCCGAGCACCAGTCCGGAGCATCGAATCAATTAAAAATCTTAGCAACAGTTGTGTCAGGATGAAGTGCAGACGGTATAAATAAAGTCGGTGGAAATAAGAGAGAAGTGAGCAGCACTCGAGTTATTTTCACACGGCGTTCAACGCTAGGTGTTGGTTCAATCCTTCATCTTGCCACCAGTCTCACTCCCTGGCCGCGAGGAGGCTACTCAGCCTCTCTAAGGACGCCATATTCCATTATCCTTGTATCATATTTTGTATTTTTAACCCAATTAACGGCGGACAAAAGTTGAAATGAGGAATTAAGTATTGTTTTTAGGGTGCAACTCTCCTGTGAATGAGAAAAAGGGGAAAATCCAGCGAGGTGTCCAAGTAACGGGTTTAATCGAGGCCTTCGACTGATATATCATGGCCAATATTTCAGCCAGAATATATTGGGAGCAGTATATCAGAGGCCAGAGCGGTGGTCAGCGTGGTCGTAATTAAATATGCTAATTGACTTATATAAAAACATGAAGCGCAATTACCTCACGCGGTGGGACGCTTCAGCTCATTGTTCGCGCCAAAACGGAGCAGCAGCGAGGCATTTGCTAAATATTTTGTGCATGACTTTGATTTTTGCGGGAGAGAAACGCACGGGAAATGATAAAGGATTATGAAACTATATCGTTTTTCCCGTTTTTTTTTTTTTACTTTTTCTACGTTAAGTAAATTTTTACTTCCACCACCTAAAAATCCAGGTTTTATGTGGATTCTATAATTTTCGTTATTATTTGACTAAAATATGCACTTTAAAAGGTCAAACTACACCCATATGTCTCACATTTAAGTTAAGCTAATTGTTTCTAGGTGGTGTATTACCCATAAAGAGAAAACAGGAAAATATAATCAAATATATCTTAAATTAATGTAAAGAAAAACCGCTTCACCTCCGTAAAAAAACAAATTTAAAGTCTCTAAAAGTATTGCTCCCTACTGGAGACAAATACACTACTGCCAAACCTCATTATCAACAAATAACGCACGGTTGCCAAATCTCCTCGTCAACAAATGATATAGAGGTCCCAAGTGCCATTATCACCCAATAATATTACCTCCTGGCTCAGCTGGGGAGGCATTCAGGTGCCAGACGGACGATGTTTAGCTATAATAATAAATGGGGTCTTCTGCGTATAGTGTTAAGACGGTGGCTGTGCTGTCTGTGTCGATGAAGGGTCGGTGATCCTTACTTCTCTGTCTCGTGTGTCTGTGTGTCTTGTCTGATGGGTTTACTGGACGTGAAGAAGATGGGGAATTGTCAGATGAGTGTTGAAAAGGTGAGACGGTGCTTAATGTATGGGATGTGGGGAGAGAGAGAGAGAGAGAGGCAACAACAATAAAAACATCTTGTCAACAATAAATATCATCAGGTTCATTTAATCTGACATTTAAAAGCTTAATGGGCAACATGGTTCTTAGCTGAGTACAACCCAAACACTACCACACCCACACACACCCACACACACACACACACACACACACACACACACACACACACACACACACACACACACACACACACACACACACACACACACACACACACACCTTATGAATTATATATCACCTCCATCTATATAACACTATATCCCCACACGAGCGGCAGCGGGGGCGCCTTTGACTGCCCCTCCCTATCACCTTCCTTACATCTAAACTCATATCAAACACAGTATGTCATCACACCGCCTCTGCCACCACCATTGTATAGTACAAGGTGCACACTAGTCTCCTCTCTCTCTCTCAGGATAATCAAGAAAGCATCAAATTACAGTAAAATTTCAGTGTAATTTCGAAGTCATTTTTACCCCGTCATCTTGGTGCCCGTAGCTTTAAATGATAGACAGCTAGATGCTCTCTAACCTGTTCAGTTAGGAGAAAAATATTGAACGTACAGAGGTTTAAGAGTGTTGGCCGAGCTGGTTAGTCTGCATCCATCACGAGCATCCATAAACTAGATAAGATAATGTGAACCTTCCTAGCCAATTTCTTAGCTCAGTATGATGCCTTGGTGGTCCCGTGTTGTGTGGTTATTGTGTGGTTACTGTGTGGTGTGTGTGTGTGGTGTGTGATGTGGTGGTGTGGTGTGTGATATGTGGGGTGTAGTGTCTGTGTGTGTGTGTGTGTGTGTGTGTGTGTATGTGTGTGTGTGTGTACTGTCATCATAAATCAGGCGAGCAATACACACATGGACATGATAATGTGAGAAGTATTTGCTCTGGTGAAAGTCATGTATTCAGTCAGTGATCTCAATAAGAGCCTTGATGGATGGTCGTGTTTATCCCTCGAAATAAATCCAACGAGACAATCAAAACTCATCCTCTAGGGGTCGGGGTAGGTATAGAATAAATCCTGCTTGCTATGAAAATAAATAAATCTCTACCGTGTCCACTAGTTGAGTTGGGTTAATGGAATAAATCGTCATTCGAGAGAGAATTTACAGTAATAACCTAACAGTATTGAGCGAGGAAAAGTTTATACCAAATGGGAGAACTGCAAATAAATTTCTTCTTAATTTATACGGAGTAACGGTGTCAGTGTTATAGGATCGGCTGGTGGTGAGTGTTGTTACTGTGTGTGTGTGTGTGTGTGTGTGTGTGTGTGTGTGTGTGTGTGTGTGTGTGTGTGTGTGTTTGTATATACCAAATCCAAAACCACATAGATAACTCCATAAGCTATGTAGTAACACACATACATACACACACACATACAGTCTATGAAATATTCCAGAAATACGATATATCTAAGTGAGGAGTTTTTGGACCATAGAAGACGGGTATACACACACACACACACACATACATACATACATCATACAGAGGGAGCGTGTATCAGGACAGCACGTCGGGTCGCTTCTAATAAATAACCCTGCTTTTGCCCATCTCTCTCCAGATTGACTCTCCTCCGTCGTCTCAGATGAAGATTAATCGTCTATTATCTTACCAGTTCTTCGTGATTTATACTCTG